CATGCTCCCTTCTTCTTTCGAGCGGGTGGATGCCATGGTACGCCCGATCAGCAGCAGCAGCAGAGGGGCCGACGGATCAGTTTGGTTACACCAGAAGCTTGACTTGAAACGTGCATGGGATGGCCAGCGACCGTAGGAGCAGCAGAGGAAAAGGTGAAAGGAATACTTCAACGAGGGGAGACTTAGCCTGTCCGAGACTCGTGACGCGACAGCGCACAGCACTATCGCTTCGCACCGATAAAGCGAACGCGCAGCTCTTCTGCAACATATCTCCTAATCTCTTCTGTCACATTCCCTGGTTCTGTCACAACGTTCACTGTCCACGCGCCAACTCCGCGACTGCACTCGCCGTCACTGACCAGAAACAGAAGTCGCCTCATTGCACGATCTCCTTCCACGCGCCACGAGGAGTCCTAGTCGCGTAAGTACGTCCACGTTCGCAAGATGGTCCGCTGCATTGTGAAATACACTCGAGGCCAGAAGCGTCGTGATCCCGCGGAGGGCCCCACCCGAGCCAGAGCAGAGACGGCAAGAAATTGCCGAGGCGATTGGACACCCGTCTGTGAGCTTCGTCCGTGAACTCGATCTCGTCACTCACGCTATCTCGCCAACGACTGAGCCAGAGAGAGAGAGAGAGAAGACGCTGTGCACGTCAGAGGTGCACGGGCAGGAAAAGTAAGCGCCGACGCTACCGCCGCCAGCGATCACACCGAGGCCGAGCGAATGCGTCATCCTCCTCCCTCCTCCCGCTCTTCCTCCCCCCTCCCGCTCCTCCTTTCCTTCCTTCCTTCCTTCCTCGACATCCTGATATGTTGGTACCCCCCGGGATGGGTGGGGGGAAGGAGCGCGAGAGGAAAGGGATGAGGAAGAGACCCCATGTCTAATCGGGACAAAAACTTGCCGAACCGCGGGGGCATCACGGCGTTGCATCCTAACGAGGGGCCACGCCAGCGTGTAAATTCCCACTCGCTTTTGACGCACCACTATTGCTCAACAACCTACAGATGCGTTCCAGCGGCAGCAGCTGGGCGCTGTGTAGACATCACGACGGGCGTTTCGGCCCCGCTTCGTCGCAAGGAAAGCCCCTCGGATCGATCTGGCTCGAGGGATGCAGCGGAAAGACGGCGTCGAGAGCTCCGGGCATGACTTTGCACGACGTTGCGCTGTTTTCACGAAGTCGGATCTCGGGAAGGGAAGGGGGAGATGCTCCTGAGACCAAGAAAGGTCGAGAACCTCCACCTCCTCCTAGACTCTGGGGATCCTCCTCCACCTCGGACCCGAGGACCCTGGCATGCGCCTCCTCTGACTCGAAACATCCTCACTTCCGAGGGGTCATAAGGCTTCTCGACAATCCGGGAGGTTCGGATCCGAAACCTTGTGGAAATCCAAAGCCTAGAGATCCCAAAAGACTTTCAACATTCTTGGTGGCGTCCGACGGTTTTCCAGAGTTTCCCGAGCTTCTCGGATGTCCCTGGCGGTCTCTGAAAGGGACAGGGAGGATAGGAGGAAGAGGGGAGAGGAGGAGAGGAGATTGACTTAGAATCGGGTAAAGAACGCGCCCCTACTCCAATCGGCGGAATGACTCGCAGCAAACTGGACAGGGTGCAGAGGTCAAGGACATGTAGCGAGACCCCACTGCGATTATGGAGTGGCTGACAAGGGAGAAGGAAGAGAGAGGAGGAGGAGGAGGAGGAGGAGGAGGAGGAGGAGGAGGAGAAGGAGGAGGAAAAAGTGGAGGAGGAAGAGGGAGCAGAAGGAGGAGGAGGAGGAGGAGGAGGACCAGTAGGAGAAGAGGGAGGAGGAGGAGGAGGAGGAGGAGGAGGAGGAGAAGGAGGAGGGAGGAGCAGCAGCAGCGAGGAGGAGGAGGAGGAGAAGAAGAAGGACGGGGAGGAGGAGGGACCAGTGCAAACCCAAGACTCATCGACGATGTTGCAATAAACTGTCCCTCCAAGCTCCCTCTTCATAGGCCCCTAGAAGGGCTCATTTCCACTGAGGGAACTGCCCCGTTGGGAGACAACGGATTGAAAATCCTGAACCGTGCCACAGCACCGTTCTTGGGACCTCAACGCCACGAATCAACCTTACTGTTGTGTCTGGACGATCATGAATCGTGGCAGAACACCATTCTTGGTACTTCAGCACCGCGAATCAACGTAACTGTTGCGCCCTGACAATCCTACATTACTCCAGAACACCATTCCTAAGACGTTGCCCATGCGAATCCGTGAAAACCCTTACACATGTTTGAAACGAATGTGCGCGGCGCTGGGGTGAGAACCACATGTCGAAAAGACACCGCCCTCTGCCCCTTGTTCAGCTTCTGCGATTTTTTCAAAACGAGCGTACGCGGCACTGGGGCGAGAGCCACGTTTTGAAAACCACCAGTCCTCTCTCCGTGAAGCTCTTGCAAGTTGCTTAAACGAATGTGCGCGGCGCCATCGGCCCTCAATCCGCGAAACTCTTGCAACTGTTCAAAACGAACGCGCGCAGCGCTCAAGCC